CCCACCTCGGAGCCGGGCCCCGGCTCGGGGCCGCCGCCGCCGGCAGCAGGGATGGTTCCTGCCCCCAGCCGGTACCTAGTGTTCTTTCAGTACTTTGGCACCAAGTATAGGTAGGTGCCTCTGCCGTGTGCTGGGGGATAAAGCGGCACCCGGGGGGGTGTGATGGGCGAGCTGGGGAGAGGACGGGCGAGCGAGGGGACCCCCTCGGGGAGCAGGTGAGAGCGGGCAGGGAGCTGGGCCCGGCTCCCTGCCGCTGTGTGCAAGGGGTAGGATAGCCACAAAATGCATAAAATGGGCAAAGAGCAAACGTCAAAAGAGAGAAGAGAGCGAGGAGCAAGTTGCAGCATTTCCCGCAGTGGTTTGCTGGGTGCCCACTTCTCCGTGATTAGATCCATGTGCTGCTCAGAAGCTGCAGCTTTCCCCAGGCCTGAAACGTCCCACAAGTGTAGCTGTGCTTGTTCACATTAAAAACAAAACAGTGTGTGGGAGAACTTGGCCTATCTTCATGAGGATTGTACAGAATAATAACATCATACCCCAAAACCCACAGTTCTTTTGCAGGGCAGGGTCTGTGTCGCTGTGGGCACTGACCTAAATTACACCGTTACAGGTAGGTTGGGTTTAGCCTCAGGATGTGTCTCTCTGCACTTCAGCAGCTTCTGTGAATGGCTGTGGCTTCTGTTGCAGAGAAGGAAGCTCATCACAGGTCACCTACATAGTCTTTTAGTCCCTTTTTGACATGCACGGGACCTGCAACTGGCAGCCAACTCCTGACCTTGAAACAGTTTTATATGCAGACTCTTTTCTACTGTAATATATCTGCTTTATCTTCCTATCAGCCTCCATCTGAAGTCCAGAGAGGATCATTTGAAGGATGATTTTTTTATCTCCAGCCTCCTTTTTTGCAGATAATCACTGCATCTCTTTTCCTGTCCATTCATTAAAGTGTTTGGGCCCTGCAAGTTCTGTAAAAAGATCCAGGCTGCCCAACAGCAAAGAGTTTGAGTGTCCTCTGTTAACTTCTGGATGTGTTGGTGGACTCTCTGTCAAGTCCTTCAGTCTTGACACATGTCAATAACTCTTGTATTTGTTTTGCTCTACAGTGGGGTGATGCAGACTTTGACTGATCAGTCAATGGTTGGAGTCCAGAATTATCTGGAGGTAGGTCCTTGCTAATCATATTTTCATTAAAATTAAACCTGTAGGGTCACACTGAGCTGCAGATATTATCAAGGATAAATTTTATTCTTAGATTGACACTCAATAAAAGACACTGTAATATTCAAAAGAGTCAAAGTGCTTTAGAAATGTTAATGTACAGGTAGGAGAAATAGGTCAGGATGAAATCAGGGACATGAAAATCCTCATCCTGATAAAGATTTGAACCCTTCAGTGAGACTTGAAATTGAAGTACCTGATTCCAGAACTGTGATTCTGAGAGCCCCTGCTCAGGCTCTGGCCCACCTGAAGGTCCTTATGCATGTGAACACTTGTGGCTTTGCCTCAACTCCTTAGAACTGCCTGAGTTCAGAATGGGCTCAGCTGCTCTGCTTCTAGTTCATGTCTAAATCCTTTATACATTTAGAAACTGGATGCTGTGTCCTCCTGGGAGAGCATGTCTCTGATAGACATTTTCAGAACAAAGCACAGCAGGATATCCATTGTTCCAAAGGGGGGGAAAAAGCTTCATTTCCATCCTTCTGGAATTCTTCTGATGTGCTGGGGAAGAAAAGGTGCAATCCTGTCCCCACTGGTGTTCCTGTGCTGTTCCCAGGGGTTTCTCAGAATGCAAGAATGGCCCCACGTGCTGTTTGGGCTTGGAGTGTCTGTGCCACAGGAGGGCAAAAGACCCATTGTTACAGTGAGTCCAAAGTGGGTCCCTTCTGGAGGGCAGATGCTCAGCACACCTGGATGTTTGTGTAACCTGGTTGTAATTTAATTGCAAGCTGCTGTTGAGCTGCATTTATCTGAGCAATGCTGGTGAATCCCACGTTCCTGTGCAGGACAGGAATCAAAAGGAATCTGTGTTTTTTCTCTGTCATCTTCGAAGCATCATGGAGTTCAAAATGAAGCTTGTGCCTGTTTAGAGCTTGTTGAAGAGGTTGGGACTGCTTGCTTTGGGTCAGATCACACCTGTGTGTTAATAACCAACTTTTTTGTTCCTCAGCTCTCATCTTTGGTCAGCCTGTCTGACCTGAGGCCCCACACTGCAGCAGTCTGGAGGCGGTGTGCCCACCGTGCCCGTTTGAGTAGTCTGTGCTCTGCCTTTAGCTGCAGCCCTGGGGTGAAGGGAGGATTGCTGAAGAGCTGCTCTGGGAGCAGACTTGCTGTCCCACCAGCTGCTCAGTGACCAGGGCCAAGACCTCTCCCCACGGTGCCTGCCTGGGTTGGCTGAGTGGGGTGGTGGCTCTCGCCAGGCAGCCTGCAGAAGGGAAGTGTGATGAGTTATGGTTTGAGTAAGAATTCTCTGAGTGGATTCGTGTGGCTTCTTGCCTGAGACCATCGTGGAGAAAGTGTGTAAATATTGTGCAGAGCTTGAAAGCAGAGCCCCAGAGGACTTTCTATCTATCTCATTTATCTCATCCTCTGACCCATCCAGTGTCTCAGCCCCAGGCGCCGGACTTTGGGTGAGCCCAGCAGTTGTTTTGCATTATCCAAGTGGCTTTGTTTGAACAGACGAATGGGCAGGGTGGCTGATTAAAGGAGAAAAGAAGAAGAAAAAGATAAACTTATTTGGTGTTGTCTTTTCACAGTATCAGCACTTTGCTGGCCAGTTCCAGAATATGTGCTTGCTTTCATGTGGTGGTATTGATGCTGGGCACTGCTGAGCAGGGCTGGCTCTATTAGAACCACATGGGAAGTCTTAAAGCAACTTTAATAGAAAACTTCTGGGGCCTGTAGGAATTCATCTTCCTTCTTCCATTTCTCTGCAGCCTCGAACTTCACAACTTTCCAAAGCCAGGAAGGGCAAAATTAAATCTGTAACGAGATCCTTATTGTATTCTAAATATGTTCAGACATTTGTTCACAGTTACAGGCAAGCAAACAAGCTGTGAGGTGTGGTTTCAACAAGGGTGTCACTGAAAGTGTGATGGGCTGGTTTGTGAGCAGGCACTGCAGCCCTGTGTGCTGCAGGGTGAAGCTGCTGGATGGGGCTGGGCAGAAGCCCTCTCTGGAACCCCCTGTCACTCCACAGCACTGTATCATGCAGGGCGTGGAAGCTTTTCTAGTCCTCAGTACTGCTACCCAACAGAGCCCTGGGAGTGCCTGGAGGGAATGGAGACTTGCTTTAGTGCAGGGAGAGATGCAGATATTTGAAGCAGCTTTTAATATGTCTTTAAGGGAGGTGAGCTTTGCAGACAACACTTTCTTTCTTTCCTGGAGACAGTGTTTTTGCCTCGAAGCACTTGGAAGCCCAGCTTGGGAGAGATGGGTCCAAAACAAAATTCCCAGACCTTGCTTCCCAGATGGGGCAGTTTGAGTCCTCTGTCTTGGCTCTCCCAAGTTCCTTGTGGAAATTTAGAAGGGGCAGGAGTCTGTGCTCTGGTCTCAATTCATCCAGATGTCCCTACTGTAAAGGGAGGTCTCCTGAGTAGCACCTTTTGCTGAAGTGAGTAGCTGTGGCTGGTGCTAACAGGCACCATATGTGAGGCTTGCAAGGACCCACAGCTTTAAGCTCCTTTTCATGTTTGGTTTGAATGATCTCCTGAGTGTGCTGTTTCTCGTTGTGCTGTTGAGTGCTGCCCAAAACTAATCTTCAGGAAGCTCTGTTTTGGCCAGCAGCTTTGCACTCAGGCCAGATACGACTCCTCATGAAAGGGAAAGGGGGAGCAGGAGAGGAGAGAAACTCCTTACTATGCAAGGCAGCTTTGGTACAGCCTCCTGCCTCCCCTCCCTGAGAAGAAAGAAATGAAAATGCACCAAGAGAACTGTCCCCTTCAAGCCCTGCTTGGATAGTAATTTCAGTGGCATAGGAGACTGCTTTGGAAACCCTTTTTTTCTAGCAGAAGCCACTTTCTCAGCTTTTCCTGCCTGGCTTTCACTTCAACTTTTATCTATTCCACTAAAAATGAATTAGATTTTTAATTGGTTTCAGTTGACATAGCACCCACAGAGCCAGTGAGGCTGTGATGACTTGCAACCAGAAGCTTGCACATTTTTATTTATTAAAACACAGCAACTTATAAATGGTGCAGCATCCCTGGCAACACAGTGCAAGCAATCCCCTAACACCATCGTGTGTGCTGGAACCAGGAAGCAATCCAGCTGCTGGGAAAGAGAAACAGACACTGATTTTTCCCAAATATTCCTGATGTACAGTTTCTTTTGAACACACCCATGCAGGGTTGATCTCACAGGTTCCTTTTGTGGTAGGTGTGGTAGAGGTAGATGGTTGAGTAGCTTGAGGATTTTCACTTCAGGGAGAGAAGTGGATGAACTTTTGCTTCCCCTCCATAGGTGGTGTACATTAATGGGCCTGTTCTTCATCTTGCCTCTCCAGCATTTGTGCCTAGTGAGAAGAGAACAGAGCTGTGAGTAATAACAGCAGTCTGGAATGTGGATCCATAGAATCCTGGCACACAACAGTGGAAATTTCAGCATGATTCAAAATAGGGACATGCTTAGTGAATGAAACCTGCTAGCAGAGCAGACCTACTCAGCACAAGGAATGCCTTGCCCTGCATCACTGCTGTGCAGGGGGGTGGAGGTATCAACACCCTGGGGGGCTGGGTGCTGCTCCAGGAGTACCCAGGAGTTCCTGGGGTCTGGAAAGACTGGGACTTGGGAGGTAAAGGCAGACTGAAAACAGGAGAGATCTGGCTCAGGGTGTTTGTAACCCCTGCTAAAGGGGAGGTTATTTGTGTGCTCTGTGGCTTAAAGAAGGGAACAGAGACCTCTGAACTCTGAGCACCTGGGAGGACAACTCAGCTCCTTTATTCCTGAATCTTCTCTATTGATTTTCCCCTGGGTGCCCATGGGTAAAGTGCCTCTGCCTCAGTTTCCCCCACAGGAGTCTGTAGATGACAGCCCACAGGGTGGGGACCTGGATTAATAGCAGCAAAGCCTTTCTGAGTCCCTCAGATGAAAAGGCTGCTTGGTTTAGGGGCTTGGGTTTTGGGTTTTTTTTTTGAAAGGGCAGGAAAAACTGGTTGCTATCCAAGCAGTTATTGGATGTAAATAAAGTCTTTTTTTGAAATTCAGTGTGGGTGATAGTAACAGATTGAAGCATGCAGGAACCAGGGGAGGAAAGCATCAGCTGCCCACAGGCTCAGAGGCCATCTGGGTGCTGCACACAGGAGACATTTGCAGAGGTGAAGGGGTCACTTCTGAATTGCCTGCAGGTTGTTCAGCAGTTCAGAAATCCTCTCTTTAAAGGAGGTTAATTAGGATGGGGATAGAAATTAAAATATTAAAGTCGAAGTGGGGGAAACAACCCAGATTTGGCAGGTCTGCAGCCCTCTCTTCTCTCCAGTCTGTTCTCCAGCAGGGCTCCACTCCTGCTGGCAGAGGGGAAGGGATCCAACCTGTGTTCCTTTGTGTTACTGAGAGGCAGGGAATGAAGTGGGATGCAGTGTGGGATCCAAAGGGGTGCTGCATCCAAACTTCTCCAAGAAAGGAGGACGTCTCCCATGTTCTCTCCTGTTCTCCCTCTACCTCCAGCTATGCTCCCACTGGCTGGCTTTTTGCCTGATGAGGATGGAGGGAGAGGAAGGTGGAGGAGGGGAGGAGCCTGCAAAAGCCAAATACATTTTTTTTTTTGCAGAAACTTTGCTCTTAAAATGCAGCTTCTGCTTTAAGACAAATTGCTGAGGCACAAGCCAAGGTCTGCTGTGGAAAACCTATTTAATTTGTCTGCTTCTTTCTGCTTAAGGGTGATAAATAAAGATTTTCATTGTTAATTGTAACCACATGTGAACTCACATAGAAGGATTAGGAAGAGGAAAAGGCTAGGGTCATTTTTGTTCTCTTTCCCAGGCCTTCCCCTGTAGCTTGGTTACATTTTTTTTCCTGCCTCCCTGTGCATTTTAACAGTACATTTCTGAGAGTCCAGAATCCTGTCTGCTCAAACAGGAGTCTGGAAGGTATTTGTGAGTCAGCAGTTCAAACTTTATTGACTCTTGGTACCAAATTAAAATCTAATAAAGACCAGTGCTGGGTTCACTGCTCAGGAGTAGAGATGGGAAACATTTCTAGTCATTCATCTGGTTTTCTGCTTTTTTTGTTGTTGTTTTTCAGTCTTTCAGATATGCTTTACTCATCCCCTGTAACAAATGACACTGGATTTTCTCTCTAAGGGCCTGTCCTCACAATAAGATCTCTTGCATTTTGCAGAGCTCCAGAACTTTATAACTTTACTGTAGGTGGGGTCCTCTTTCCTGCTCACCCAATAGTATAAAGCAAAGGGTGAGGAGATGAATCCTTTTTATTCTGTACACATGAGGAAGCTCACCTGACATTTTGGATGTTAGGTTAGAGGTGATTTCAGGACAAAAGGTGAGAAGCCACTGATGCTAGAAGTCCCCCAGACAAGCTCCTGTGCAGCCCACAAAGAAACTCTCAGTTACTGCTCTGTGGGAGCAGTAAGGAGACAGGTAGTTAGGAAGGAGGAGGATGTTTTTACCTCACCAGTTCCAAGCAGATCCTCTATTCATGAACCCATCTCCTGTTGGCTTTCAGAAGGCAGCTGAGAAGCTAAAGCCCAGTGTTCCCATCAAGTTCCACATCTCCAGCCGAACAGATGCTGGTGTCCATGCACTCTGCAACACTGCTCACATCGACATCCAGTGGGCCCCAGGGAAGCCAGCTTTTAATGAGAAACAGCTCATCTATGGTCTTAATCACCACCTGAAGCCTGAGCCAATCCGGTGAGTTGGGGGCAAGGCTTTTGTTTTGCCCTTGTTGGAGAAGGGAGGAAATGCAGTCATGATCTCCCAGCTTCTGTTACACACCTTGGCAGATCCCATGTGTGTATTCCTGCTCCTACCAGACCTCTAGCAGGTTAAAGATCAGTCTCATTCCACCATCATTGTTGTTAGGAGATCACCTATGCTGGTACCCCTAAAACAAGAGAAGTTGTGAGAGATTTGGGTCATTGTGTAAGTATTGAATCCAAGGGGATGACTCTAGGTTCACACATGAACCAGGACATTAGCATGTTAGCTTTCAGTGCTCCCCAAACTCCCTGATTTTCTTGGTTTATTGAATTGGTTTATTGACTTGGCTGCAGTATTGCCCCTCACCTGTACCTGTGCACAAAGATGGTCTGTTTAGTGTCTGTAACTCTGACACCCTTGGGTTCAGGTTTTGCAGCATTTTCCTGCAGTGTTTCTGGAGTTCTGTGTCAGGGGTGCTTTGCATTTATTTAAATGCACCAGGACCTTTTTTTTATCTGTGGGCTCTCAACTTGGTCAGGGACTGGAGCAGAAGCTGCAGCAGCTGTCTCAGAGCCAGCTGCATTCTTTCACCTCTGAACAAACACCAGGGGAGCCATCAGAAGGGGAAGAGGAAGTAAAATCCTTGGAATCTGAGCTGAGGAAGGAGGGCAGGAAGGTACTGTGAGACCTTACTACTGGAGACACATAGTTCCTGTTAGTGGCTGTTTATTTAACTGACCTTTTTCCCTGGATGTTTAGTTCCTTTCCCAGCCCTCAGTTTTGGGAGCAGCACAAGGCCACACCACTTTTCCCCTTTGATCCTAACACTCAGCAGTGTGCAGAGGTGGTGGAGTTGAAACCTCTTTCTCTGAAAGCAGAGGTTTCACAGGGGGTGCCTGAAAGAAAAGTAAATACTGATTTCACTGCTTTTGCTACACAGGCATCAGTGACATGTCAGATCACACATCCCAGACTGGAGATGGAGCACTAGCATGATAATATAGGATAGACAGTTTTGCCTTCAGGAATCCAGTTCCTCTGTTGGCCTTTTAGAGTAGCAGCCAGATTCCTCTGCAGCCAGAGGCCAGAAGACAAAGCAGATCTCTCAAGCCAGCTAAGTTGCACACTTAACATCTGTGAGTTGCTGTCCCTTGCCAGCTTTCACCTTCTTTGACACACGTCTAAAGAGTCTAATGCAGCTGCTGAGGGGTGGGGATGGAGATTATCTCTTTTCAGACTGCTGTCAATTAAGAAACCCCCAAGATTCTGAAATAGAAGTGACTCCTGTGAGGTTTTGGTTGTTATTTTTGCTCAGACTGAGAACTAGGTTGGAATCTATACACCCTGGAAGTCAAACCCTTTCTGCATGTTCAAGCAGCAACAGGGAACATGAAATAGGTCATAGTTTTGATTTCCTTCCTTAAAAGATTAAAGCAGTTGTTTGGGAGTCAGAACTGGCTGATCTTCCAGCCAGAGGGAAGCACTGCAGTAATCAGGACCAGTGCAGTGCAGTCCTGATCAGTTTGAGATTATCAGGATGCAGGCAGCTCTGCTTCTCCTTCCTCCCTTGGGCTGAACCTTTTAAGATTCAGCTGCTTTCCATTAAGGAGCTTGGTGATGGGCATGAGTCTTAAGCATATTCAGCAATCATCCCCTCCCTCTGTAAATATTACATTGCCAAGAAGAATTCTCTCCTAGTGCTGAAGAGAAAACTCAGCACTTTCATGTGGTTGCAAGCAGGGAGTGATGGAGAGAGGAATCTTTGTGAGAACACATCATTGTCCATAGAGCTTGGAAAGGAAACAAGATTCCAGGCTGGCTGACTGTATCATCAGCAATAATAACCTTCTTTGTAGCATGATGGGTCTCTTCCATCAACTGATCTGTCTGTTAGAGTTACAAAGCATAGCTGAAAGGACCTTGTCGACAAGGAGCAGAGTGTATTTTAGAGTTGAGGTAACTTTAGGAGGACTTTGCTCTCCCTTAAGTAGGGGTGGTAACACAGCAGACTCACACCTTCTATTTCTGCCTCCAGTTCTGTAAGCACACACTAAAAGGTGTCTGAGTGACAAGGAGACACAGCCAGGATTCCTCCCACCTCCTGCAAGCTGACATTTAGTTTCTGTTGTCAGTGGAAGGATGTTCCTCTGTGGGTATCTTCACATTTACTTCAGTGCCATTTCTAATTAGTTCTAATTTCTTTGGGCTTTTTTTCCCTCAACTTTCTCTGAAATTCAAGCTCTGTTGAAAAGATGAAGGAAGCCATGAGTGTTTATTTACCAGCAGGCTTTCAAAAAATGGGATCTTAACAAGACCTGAAATGCAGCTACTGGAATAAATGCTGGAAAGCTGTTCCTAGCTAGAAAGGGACTATGGTAGCAATTGTGTCTGCTGGGAGAGCAGGAAAGGATGCCTGTGTTGAAGATTCATGTGAGTATAAACAGGCTTCTCTAAAAGAATCACTCTATCTGAGGGAGTAAAAGGATGATTATTTAATAACAATGACATGAGCATTAACAAGAGAAGCTCGAGAGAGATTAAATGCTTGTGGAGGCATCTAGACAGAGGAAAACAAATGTAATAATTCTATTACTGTGTTGAGAAGAGGCTGGAGGTCCTAGGTCCAAACTCCATTGCAGGATGTAGTTGATAGCAGTGGAGCAATCTCCTGGGTTTGTTATTGCAGATCTTTGTGGAGGCCTGTGGCTCAGCTGCAATTTCTCCTTCTGTGGTCTGAGCCTTTGCAATCAGGGGATGTGAGCCAGAGGCACTTGAGCTGGCAAAAATCCTTGAAGCACCAATCTTTTTAAAGTAAATAAATAGGTTTGTCTATTACTTGGTCCCAAATGGTATCATATTGGCTGCCCTGGGTCCCTTCTCCTTGCTATGCCATGTTCTAAGGACAAGAAGACATACAGAAGGAGAAACCTGCCTTTTAAGGAGAGGTATCCTCTAAAGTAACACCTGCAGAGAGGTTATACCTGGGTGCTTGTGACTCCTTGCTGTGTGCTCCCTGCAGCATGGTGAGGAGCCACTACTCTGGGATAAGGGGAGATCCAATCCAGTGAAAACTGCTGCTGACATGTTCAAATCAGTGATGATGCTTCAGGGGAGGTGCAGGGGCACAGAGAAGCTCTGTTTTCTCCCTTGCCAGAGAGAAAGATGTTTTCCTGTCCAACAGCCTTCATACCCTCCCTTCTGGCTATCAAACTGTCCATATGTGATGGCAGTAGTGGCAATGGCTTAGAGAAACAAGGTGACATCTCCTTGTTGCTCGCAGAAGAAAGCAGGAGCTTAGAAACAGCTGCTTAGAAAGCTGCTTCTTGAGCTCTCTGCCCAGAGTTGGTGGAAGACACATAGACATGAACATTCCCCAAAGCTGTTTTCTGTACGTGTGAAATGTGAGGGCTCCCAGGAGGTCTCCTGCATGCAGCACTGCTGTTCTCAGACAGCCTTGACCTAGATGATGGGGGGATACACCTCGAGTTTCAGTGCTGCAGCAAAGTCCTGTTTGTGTCAGAGGCTGTGGGAGGGAGGTGATGTAGTTTCAGCTCTCTCCATCTGCTACAGTGAGTGGCACGGACACCTTCACGGGGGAGCCCCGAGGGGTGTGGTGTTGGTGGGGTCCTTCCCACTCACTTTTGGGACCATGGTTCTGCCAAAGCAGATGGGTGTAAGGTGTGCTCCTCGGCTGGAGAAGGAGGGAGGCAGCTTGCTGTGGGAAACTGCTGCCTCTTGCCAGGGAACACGTCTGCCCTCAGCCAGACACACAAAACAATCTGGTGTTTGCTTTCACTGAGCTACAAAGAACACTCACCATCAGCTGCCACTTCTCACGTGGAGGACGACTGCTCTTAGCCTCTTGTGATGGTGTGAGGGTCCCCAAAATGTGCTGATAGGTGACTCAAAGTCAGTTTCTCTGGATATTGGATGACGTGGGGATGCTGAGGCTCTTCTGCTGCCTTCTGCTGGACAGGAGCCTGTGGCAGCTGCAGGAGCAGATCCCCGGTCACTGGTCACTCGCTGCCTGTCAGCAGAGAATGACATTAATTAACTACAAGAGCAATTTCTCAGAGAATCCACGCACGTTTCAGTTCCCATCTGCGTGGTGCCCAGGCAGAGGCTCCTGGCTGACACCTCCCTGTGTCCTGGCAGGGTTCTGGCTGCCCGGCGGGTGGGCGGCAGCTTCCACGCGCGCTTCTCGGCGCTCTCCAGGACCTACCTGTACCGGACCACCACTCCCAGGTGCCCGTCTTCGAGAGGGACCTCTGCTGGGCTCCCACGGGAGGGTAAGTGTGTCCCACCTCCTCGTGCTCTGGAGAGCCTTGGCTTGGCTTTCAGGGGAGCTGCCACGTGTGAGGAGATTCCCTGTTTGTGTCCGTGAGGTTTCCCTGTTGAAATCGGTGCGACTGCACTGAGTGGTGTTCACCAAGACTTGAGACTTGCAGTTGTTTTTAAGTGTAATGTCAGTTGTACCTGTGATAAACATGCTTAGCTCTGCTGAAATTCTCACCCACCCCAGGCAGAGTCCACTCCCACCTTTGTGTGTCCCTCCCCGTGGGACATCTCGTGCTCAGATGCCCATGGGCACAGCTGAGGGAGCAGAGCTCTGGGGTGAGGCACAGACACTGCACAGCAGGCTGTGGAGTTCCAGGGGTGACCCCCTAGAGCTGAGAATTCTTTTTTTTCCCTGTTTTTTTTAATTTTATCCTCCCCCTAATTGTATTTCTGGTAGTGCCTGCATGTAAATCTGTGTTCTCCTTCCCTGTCTGAGTGCTTGTGTGTTTGAATAGCAAGAGCCAACAACTCTGAGCAACCCTACAATAACAAACCAGTGCATCTAGCTCAGTATTCACTTCTGTTCCTGGAGTAGCCACTCAGTCATAACAAATCAGTGCTTGTATATGCAAGGGAAGAAAAACAAAGTCAGTGCCATTAAAAAAAAAAGGCAAACTAAACACCTTAGGACATGATAAACAGTGGGTGAGGAAAAAAATAAACAAAACCCAGAATATCATTTGTTATTGTCCTTTTAGTTTATGTTGTACTGAAATAAACATACGTTCAAGAAAACTGGAGCTTTCCCCAAGGTTATAGAAAAACAGGTTTGTAGCTGGTTATGGTAATTCCCTCACCCCTGGTGGAGGAGCAGTTGTGGGCAAAAGGGAGCCAGGTAATCTCAGCTGGCCTGCCAGAGGAACCAGGGTGACATCCTCCTAACATTAAACTGCTGACTTTCTTTTCTGTGAGCTGTGGAAAGGAAAAATAAATATGAAATGGCAAAATTAGATGTGATGTGCACAACGTGCCTTAACCTCAGGCTTTATGAAATGGTTTTAATGCAGTCCAGACACTGCAGTTAATGTTCTCTGCTGGCAATCCCACCTCAGGGATAGGGTGAGCACACGAGGAATGCTGAATGGGAGGTGTCTGACTGAAAGGTGGGATATTTGGACTCCTGGGAGTGGATCTATAGAACTGAAGCCATAGCTCATGCATACTTGCTCAGGTTTCTGTTCAGCCAATATATCAGCAAATCTGTATAAATTCCTTTGCTCAAGACTTTTTTGAACCAAACTTCAGGTGAAGAAATCTGAATGACCCCTTCTGTTCAGCCAATATATCAGTAAATCTGTATAAATTCCTTTGGTCAAAACTATTTTGAACCCAACTAGATACTTCAGGTGAAGAAATCTGAATGACCCTTGACAGGCTGAGGTTTACCCCTGGCCCTTCCTTCCACCTTCCACCTACACTGCCTTCATCTCTGACCATCTGCTCACCCATTCCATGTCTTTACTTCCTGATTTTATCTTCTGGCTGTTGCAGACCTAAGGTTTGGAAAACCATCAGTTCTGTGAGCTGTGGAAAGGAAAAATAAATATGAAATGGCAAAATTAGATGTGATGTGCACAACGTGCCTTAACCTCAGGCTTTATGAAATGGTTTTCATGCAGTCCAGACACTGCAGTTAATGTTCTCTGCTGGCAATCCCACCTCAGGGATAGGGTGAGCACACGAGGAATGCTGAATGGGAAGTGTCTGACTGAAAGGTGGGATATTTGGACTCCTGGGAGTGGATCTATAGAACTGAAGCCATAGCTCATGCATACTTGCTCAGGTTTCTGTTCAGCCAATATATCAGCAAATCTGTATAAATTCCTTTGCTCAAGACTTTTTTGAACCAAACTTCAGGTGAAGAAATCTGAATGACCCTTGACAGGCTGAGGTTTACCCCTGGCCCTTCCTTCCACCTTCCACCTACACTGCCTTCATAGCAGACCATCTGCTCACCCATTCCATGTCTTTACTTCCTGATTTTATCTTCTGGCTGTTGCAGACCTAAGGTTTGGAAAACCATCAGTGTTTTCTATTTTCTTACCTGGCAGCCTCCTTTCCAGTTTATAAGATCCAGATACTGCAGAGGATTTTGGTTCCCTTGCCCTACACTCTAGCCAGCAGTTTGAGTAGAGTGATTTGAATTGAACTGTTCTAAGGAGCACAGCAGGATAAAGGTTAAGAGTAGAAACATGTGCCTGCCAACCCCTCATCCAGCCTGGGGCTGTGAATACCTTCAGACCTCGGGTCACCTGGCACCTTGGTTTGTGGTTTGGACCATTACAAGACAAACTCCATCTTGCACAATGCGTTTCCACAACGCTGCAATGTTCAATCTGCCTGCCAGGCTCAAGCCTCTCACCAGTTAACGGGACTTTGACCCACCTAACCTACTCGATGCTCCTTTCCCTTTGCTCTGCATGTTTAATTTCAGCTACCTGGACGTGCCAGCCATGCAGGATGCTGCCCAGTTCCTGCTGGGGACCCACGACTTCAGCACCTTTCGCTCCCATAACTCGGAAACACCTTTTCGGTCTCCAGTCAGAACCATCCTCCAGATAGACATCCAGCCCTCTTCTGGTTTCCTGTCCCACCACTATGAACACAGGTGAGAGCCTAGACCCAGGAGCTGCTCTGCTCAGTAGTGCTTGCTTTGCCTGAAGAGCTTTTTGCTTTGTCTGAAGAGCTGCTTTCAGCCCTGCTCTGAGAACTGACCTGGTTGCTGAGCGTTGCCTTCACAGTGCTGTGATGCTGTGTGTGTCAGCAGAGCTCTGCCAAGGGACAGCTTGGAAAGGACACGTCTTCCCTCTCCTCCCCAACATCCTCAGGGAGAAAGAGGAGCAGGAACAAGGGCAGGGAAACTGGTCCAGTTGTTTGGACATTAAAAGGCAGGATGTTATAAACTGGTGTGTGGAATCTGGCACCGATTCCTATGAATCCCAGTTGACAAGTGCTCCCAAAGTGCTCCCAGCATTTACACTCATTTTGGTTGCTAAAAGCCAGCTCTGCCAGGGGATGGGATTTTTATTTCCTCCCCCTCACTGCTGCCCTGCTGTCTGTTGGTGTGAAGGCTGCAAACAGCAGGGAAAAATCCAACCCACCACCTAGGGCAGTGGTGTAGCCATGCAGATCTGCTCAGCTCACACCAGGAACTCCTGCTGTCTTCCCAGGGGATGCTGGTGAAGGGCAGTCCAATATTCCTCAGTCATTACATAAACAAGAGATTGTGGAGTGTCAGGTTCTTTCTGTCTTGCAAGTATTGAAATGAAGTGGCTGGATGTACTCTCTCTCTAGCAGAAACTGAAGGTTTTTTCCCAGAAAGATCATGGTTATTTATTTATCATCTGAACAGGCTTTTTGCTTTCATCCTGGCTTCTTTCTCAGATACATGGCTTGAAAGCAAACCTTGCTTCCCACAGAGGGAAACTGCCATTCTTTGCCTAACTTGCTGCATGAACCCATCCCACCTGAGGCTGAAAACAGCTCATGAGGGAGGAAGCAAACCTAAAAACGGGATCAAAAGCACCCAGACTAGTTGTGGGTGGAATATTTTTGCTTTTGGTGACACTCAGAGTCAAACTTGTGTCTTATAGCAAGTCATTTTTATAATGTGTTGATTTTAATTGATTTAATGAATGGTTAGGCTGAAGAGGGGGGCTTTGAGGAGCCTGATTTCAATGCATTGAAATGGCATTTAACTCTCTGAATACTTTGTTAGTAATAACTAAACCAATGAGTTTTCTGATCTAGAGGAAAAAGCTGTGGGCTTTGGGTCTTCCTGACAGGCTAGGGGTTTTAAAAATGTATTTATTTGTTTGGAGTTTTTAAATTACAGTGTCCTAGTTACTTTTAAACTGTAAAACCCTGTCTGTGGGGACAGTTGCAGCCGTGGAGCCCTGTGTGTGTTTGCCCAGTCTGCAAAAAGACAGCAAATGTGCCTGAAGTGTGTGCAGGTTTCTGCACTGCAGAACGAGCTCCTCCTGCAAGGAGAGGGCTGGGACAGCACCCAAAGCTTCTGAATAGGAGGGTTTAATTTAGGGTTTTTTTAGCCTAATATAAGGAGGTGTGTTTTCTGTGTCAGGGGGAGGAATCTGTTGAATGATAAACCCTGCTCTCTCAGTGAAATAATGCAGCTTTTCTTTCTCATTCTTTCCTTCCTGCCTGAACTTGAACCAGTCTTCTGAATTGACCACTTGTCTGTTGGAATGATTCCTTCCATCAAACTCGGTTGCTCAGCAACAGTGGAAGTGGAGTTAGTGTCCCAGCCATACAAAATGCCTTTGAGTGCTGAGGATGTGTGCAGAGCCTTGGTCCCATCACTTATTCCTAGGGAGAGATTGCTCTGTCACCTCTTTTTGAGCAGAATATCTATTATTCATTGCAAGGTGCTGGCTCCTGCTGCCAAGTGGAAAAAAAGACAGCTGCAGTTTTGTGCTGGTAAGCAAAGTTATCTGTGAGATTGACAGGAACAACAAAGTTTCCCTCATAAAGCAAAAATATCTTCTTCTCTTTCAAACTCTGCAAGACATTTTTATTCCTAAGTATTTTCACCCATCTTTTGTAGCTTAATCTTGTCAGGACAACTGAGCTGGGAAGATCCTGGCTAAAGAAGGTGTGTGCAAGTTGATGAGAAGGGAGATTTGTCCATATTAAAACAAACAATCAAACAACTGCCCCTTGTGCTTTGCTAAATGGCTGAGCTGAGGTATGACCTCCATGTATTTGCACATGTCTGTATGTCAGATGCTGGGGGCAGAGCAGATGAAATATTGTCATTTCCCAGCATAAAGAGGAATCTGGGGGCAGGAGCTGCCTTTGCATATGCCAGCACACACACACACAGGGCTAAAAGCAATGATTTATCTGTAAATCCAGTGAGGAATCAGCTTGTGGCTGCTCCCTACAATGACTGTTTCAGTTTCTTTTCCTGCCAGCCCTGCCCTGGTGCCCCACAGGCCTGTGAATCACATTGTCCCTGCTCCACCTTTCTCTGGTGGGTCCCAAGAGCTGTCTCCTCTCCCAGGGCATGGGCAGCCCCTTGACACTCAGGTGTTCCCAGCAAACCCAGCCTGTCCATCTGAACCCTCCACCCCAACACTCTGCAGCTGGGATTTTCTCCCTGATTCACATCTCTCCAGCCCTTTGAATACTCCATTACTGGGCTCATTGTGAGGGAGGAGAGCAGAGGGTTTGCATCTAAACAGCTGCTTCCCTGGGTTATGCAAGGTAAGATTTGCCTCTTTGTGCTGTAGGAATGCTTTGGGTTCTAAGGAGCACTTATAAACTGAGTTTATTTAGTTTTTACTATTAATTATTGTTGCTTTTATCAAAGTGACTTCTAGGATTGCTTGCCAGCATGAAAGTTTGGGGATGCAGGTCCTGAAGTGAAAACCTGCTCGTTTTTGTGCTCTGTGGCCACATCTGATGTATGATCTGTGTGTGTGTATGTTTTCTGTCACAAGAAAATGTGCATACAGGTTCTTCTCTGCAGGACTGTTCCTGAGAGAGGGATTGCACTGGGTTTTAGTGTTAGAGCTGGTACTGGATCATCAGTAAAACCACAAAAACATCTAGAAAGCAACTTGTAAAGATTTAGCAGGGAACACAAGTGCCAGTGAAGAGCTGGAATAGCCTCAGTAGAGTTCTTGGAAGGAATACTGGTTACTACAATAAACTTCCTGCAAATGGTACTTATATGAACACACAAATTTAGTGAGAGGAAAGGATGTAGTTTTGCCTAGTAGCATCCATCCAATCCCAAGTACTCACCTGCCTGTGGTCTCCTGCTCTGCTCACTCTTAGCCTGCAGTGCTCCCTTTGCTCATGTTCTGGTGCTGCAGCCAGACTCCTCGGGCACGTCTGTGTCCTGACTTGCTTGTCCTGGCCTCCCCAGTAGCTCACAGATGTGACAGGAGGGCATTGCTGAGTGTTGAAATCTACTCTGCAAAGCCTCTAAGGACCATGGGATTCTCTCACACCAGCTCCAGATGTAATGGTTGAGTTGTTTTGCTATGGCTGGTGGTTTCTTCCTTTCTCCAGGAGGCATCAGGCTGCACTCCTCGGATCAGCAGCACCTTAGCAGAGTGCTGAGTTGGTTTATGTTGCCCTTTCCCTTCTATTGGAATGGTTTCATCCTTAGGGGTAAGGCAGCAGGAGGACCAAGCAATGTCAAAGGAGACATAAGAAGGGGGCAGGCATTGCTTCACCCCAGGAGATGTCCACAGTGGCAGCTGAGCAACCTGCTGTGCAAAAGCTCCTGATGCTGTTCAGGATAACTGGGGGCTGTGCAGCATCTTGCTCATTCTGCCTCCATTCCCCTGTGCTTTCTACTTCTCTCGTGGGTAGGAGAGCCATTGGAAATGTGATTCTGAACACTTGTTTTGTTCCCTTCTCTAGGGGGCTGGAGGTTTGGGAGCTGACGTTCAGGAGCAGATCGTTTCTCTACCGACAGGTACTTGGTGCTGCACTCAGCACAGCCTTTGCTGGTCCCTTTAGCAGTGCTGTGTCCCTGCAGGGCTGGGTTACAGCATCCTGCCATCAGAGAGGTGAGCTGCTGTATTCTCTGTGTGATCCAGCAGGGCCAGAAGCTGCTTCAGTTTGTCTCCAACAAACACCCAAAGTCCCAGAATCGTGTGGGAGGATGGAAAGTTTCATTTCCCGCAAGCTTTGTCTCTGCAGTCTGAGTGGTAAAAACCAAGAGACATATGTTCCTGCTCTGCTGAATGGCACTGGGCCCGGCCAGGACTGCCTGGAATTTTACTTTTTGGCTTTGGAGTGTGAAGTCATTCTCAGTGTTGCACAAAGGAGGGGTGGGTGAAGCCCTGATTCAGCTCTGCAGGCGTGACTGCAGCATCCGTCCCTCTGCCACGCTGTCTGCTCTGCACTGGGCTGTCTCTGAAATAACCCCAGGGGGGTTCCTGCTGCCTCCACAGAGCAGTGGGTCACCTCCTCAGGGCAGAGCTGGCTCTTCCCAGCCTGTCCTGGCCACACTCTGGAGACAGAGGAGGCAAGAGAGGCCTTGTCCTGGGGAGGAGCGAGGGGTGTCCTGTGGGAACAGCAAGCAGCTATTTGTCATTCTGTTTTGACAAACCCAATTTGTTTTTATCCCATGCCAAGTCGTGCTCTGGGAGCTCTCTGACAGCGGGTGTCTGGATATGAGCAAGGGAAGAACACTGTGCTTGAGGAGGGCTTGATGTGCAGCAGGGATTTGCTTCCTGGGATGCTCCTGTGAGGAGGGGAAAATGCTGGTAACACGTTCAGTGCATTAGGAGGGAATGCTGCTCGGTGACAGTGTGCAGAGAACAGTCACCCTGACACTCAGCTCGGCCTCCTGCCCTCCCTGAACCTCGCTGGCAGGCAGAGTGAGCAGGACCAGGAAGGGTCCTGCTGGGCAGCATGCAGGAAGGGCTGTTCCAGATGCACAGCGTTGCTCTGCGTTCACACCAGCTCACTCCCAGCACTTGGTGCACGATGACCTCTAGTGAGGGATGGATAAAACAACACATGGCCGAGAGCCGTGCTGGTTCTTTGTGCCATCTGTTCAAAGGAGGCTCCTGGCATTCCACACGGGCAGAGACAGTGCTTGCCTTTGGCTAAGTGTCCTGACCTGCTGGCCCCTTCTCCTTAAGGGTGCCAGACATGAGCAGGGGGCTCAGTGGACTTGGGCTTCATGTTTGTAAATGGGAATTAATTAGAAACTTACTTACACTAGTGCTTCATTACAGCACTACATTGAAGTCTTGGCCCTCCTGGCACAGCAGGTCTTCCAGGGAGAGGAGGGAAGGGTTCTTCAGCCAGGAGGGTGCTGAGCTGTGCTGGGTGCTCGTGCAGGAGGCGAGTGCTGTGGTGGGAAACTTGTTCTAACCCTCTAGGTCAGGACTGATGAGTGTGGAGGGAGGGAGGGAGGGAGGGGAGTCAGGTCATGCAGAGGGGGCTGAAACTCCACTTTGCTGCCCCAGGAGATGGTGTTGTCTTGTGGGCTGTCCTACTTGGGTGTTTTTTCCTCTGACCTTTTTTTGGCTGAGAGAAACAAGCTCCTACATAGTCTCCCACCTGGAAACAGTGTTGCTGATGTGTTAAGAAGCAGGTCTGAGCTCAGCTCTCCCAGCAAGCCCTGCAGGCTTCCTGCCACCCACTCATGTGTGGGTGCTGCTGCTCTTGGTGACAGAAACCATCCTCTGCTCAGCTTTCTTCCCACGTGTGAGGAGGACAAGCCTTGCTCCAGGGCAGTGCTGTGGAGCTGGAGATCACTGTGTTACAGCCCCCATCTCATTCTTACTAACAATGGCTTTAGTTGCAGGGAGGGAAGACTTCAGGGAAGCCAGGTAATTTTGCTGGTTGTTTTCCCTGCCACCAGCTTCAAGGGGACAATGGATAGTACCAGAAATAGTAGAGGAACACCAGAAATTAGGCTTTCTGGGAACTATGGGTCTAATAATAATAATGTACCTATATTTAGGAGCAGGGTCTTACTAAGAAATTGTGGTGATGGTCTTTCCTGAGGGACAGGCACTGACCTCTCTGATGAGGTTCCTGGCTTGACTTGGCACCAGCAGCTGTTACACAGCACAGTGCAGCTGGCACCACGGGTGCAGGACTGGACAGAGCTTCCTTCTCTCTCTCTAAGCCTTACAGGGGCAGTTCCTAAGCTGTGTTCTCTGCTTTTCCAGGTCCGAAGGATGGTTGGGACTCTGGTTGCAGTTGGCCAGGGCAGGCTGGCACCTCGTCAGGTGAGGGAGCTCCTGGAGATGAAGGATGCCAGAGCTCTCCCACCATATGCCATGGCTCCAGCCTCTGGGCTCTTCCTCAAATCCGTGGAATATGATGAAGCAGGTAGGAGGCTGCAGGTCAGATCTGACACCCAATGGAGCAGGAGCACCCAGTTGTCCTTTACGTGCCATCTGAGCCATGGCTTTGGTCATCCACACCCACATCACAGCGACTGCCATGGGCTGCAGAGGTGTTTACACCACTTGCTGTGGAAAAATTGTGTTGGTTTGGTTTTTTTCCTGCTAAATTTCCTTCAAGGTAGTAAAGGAGAAGTTGTGTTGACAACGACTTGAGTGATACTTTCAATTCTTATAACTCTCATGACCATGTATGAAGCCCAACTTCTCTGTGGGATCTGGGTGCCTACAGACCCACTTCCATCACTCACTTCTCCCTTGGTACTTATGAGAGGACTGTGCAGACTGGAGGACAAAGAACAAATCATCCTCTTGCTTATACAGTGGCTTTCTTAATTTAACAACACCTGAGCTAAACTATTTAAGTCTTTTAGCTTAAAAATAAAAAGGTCAAGGGGGTGGAAAACTTGGACAAGTTGGCAAATGGAAGTTTGGCATCCCTGCTAGAGATAGGAGGTATTTAAAGCTGCAAAGATTCATCTGCCTCCATCAGTCCAGTGACCATGAAATGTAGACACAAAGGACTTTCCACCCCACTGCAGACCTTCTGCAGGTTCCCTTGTGTCAGCCAGACCACAGAGCTCCTACAGGTCTGCTCTCTCCTGCAGCAGCAGGGCACACTCTGGGGCTTCAGGAAGACAGAAGGGGCAGGGAAGTGACAGAGAGCAGTGCAGAAAGCTCCAGCAGCTCTGAGCACTTGGCCTGGCCTTGGAAATGCAGCTGCTGCTGCCTGGCCTGGGCCTCTCCAGTGCTGCTGGCTGTGCCAGTGGGGAGGGAGCCCAGGCAGGAAATGAAACCACAGGTTTTAAGTGCTTTCAGGTGCTTTCAGTGCCATCTTTTTCCCTAAATCAGTGTTTTCTGTTTAGTTTTTTTTTTCTTTTCCTTTCAGATCTGAATGCTACAACTGCCCCAGGAGAATAGCAGCTCTGTGAGACAGGGCCACATCTGAAAGGACTCTTGTTGTGCTGGAGGTCTGCCTGGTGCTCTTCACACAACACATGGCCTTGTCTCAATAAAAATCATTGACTGTGGCTGTAGGCATCTTCCTATCGTTTGTTCTTCCTCTCTGAGACTGCCAAGGGGAAAGGAAGAACAAGTCCCTGCTGCTTTCAGATAACTGCTAGTTTTTTTTCCTTTTTCTCTGAAATTCTGGTGCCTGCCTCAAGCAGGAGGAGGAAGGAGTGAGGTCTGGGTTTTTTGATTTGTTTTCATGGTTTTTTTTCCCCCTCTGGTGTGTGTGGGAGGGATGCAGGCTTAGAACAGAGGAGAATGCAGCACTTCTTCCCTGCCCCTCTCCTCTGTGACCCTGCCTTTGTTCAGCACAAGGACCAGCTGCTGCTGGGGGCTTCTCATGAAAGACACAGCCTTGGGAAGGACCCACCAGCTCCTCCTCACCAGCAGTCACTCCCTTACCAGGCTGTGGTGACTTCTACATCATCCTGTCGCCTGGTACAAAGCCAGGCCTGTCACACTGGGATGTTATGGAGCAAAAGTCCCTTGAGGTCACCTCTCAGCCTGTTTGGGTGGTCACAGCCCAGGCTGGTAGCACAGAACCCCCACCTGAGTGGCTCAGCCTCAGTGTGAAGGAAGCAGCTCTGAGTGCTGGAGGCTCTGTGCCCAGAGGGTGGCTGCCACAACACCTCACTTGCCTAAGCAATAAAATACACACTGGGTAATATTGTGGCTTTTGCCTTGTTGGTTTTGGTGTTTTTTTTTTCTTCTCATGAATGATGCCAGAATCTGTTTTGGTTATAAAATGACTGTTGGAGTCCCAGGTTACAGGAAGGAAGATGCAACTTTTGACTTCTGAAGTTCACTGATGAAACAACACTTGGTTAAACTTTCCTGCAGTGGCAGGAACATGCAGCTGAGGTGTCTGCCACCACCACAGTTCTCCCCCCTTGGTCCATGAGAGGGGATTACAGAGAAAGCCAGTTTGTCAAGGCCTCATCTGGTGAGAGGCTGTTCCTTGTTACGTGGCAATTCAAAGTGATACAGACTGTCTCATTCAGGTAAATAAAGGAAGATTCTTTATAACTTCTTGGGAGACTGGAGTTTCCAGGGTGGAGAGCCACAACATAGGCAGAGGGGGTGGCAGGAGTTCTTTCTGGTCTTTCTTTCAGCCACCCTTGCCTTTGGCACTGGAGATGATGTTGGCCAGTGGTCAGAAAGTGAAGACAGCCCATTTCTGTGTCCCCTCACGAGGAGTGAAGTGTCTCCTCCCCTCTCTGTTCCAGGTAGCAGTTTTGCCAGAGACCTACTTTTGACAGCATGGGAGGGGAAGGCAAGATACTTGTGGTGAAGCTCTCCCTTCCTGAGGAGCACCTGGCTGCTAGGCACTGCCCTGCTGGCTGAGTACCCAGAGGCACTGCTGCTGGAACAGGCTGCAGTGGTTTTTTAACACCAGCAGCAGGGCTTGTCCGTCGGTGTTCCAAACCTTACCATGCCCAGAAGGGTCTAGACAGGGAAGGTTCTGGGGGGAAGTGAGAGCAGCTGGGGCCCATCTGGCAGTGCCCCAGCCTGCAGCACTGCTCCCCAGTTCTGAGGCAGGTCCTGCTCTGCAGGCTGCTGGGGCTGGGGGGGTGGGGAGGCTGGAGGGACGGCGGGCGGCCGGGGGTGGGAGCAGCGGACGCAAGGCGAGGGCTGACGCAGGCACTGGTGCTGGGTGCTGGCCTCTCCCCCTCATTTTGGGGGTGCCACTTGACTAGCAGGGCAAGTTTTGGATCCGAGCGACAGCTTTTGATCTCTGCTTCCTGTGGTTTCTCTCTGCAGAGCACTGGGGGAGAGCTCTGCTCTCTGCTCTGCAGGGGCTCTTGCAGGGCAGTTTGCTCTGCTGTTAACATTCAACGCAGAGGAGCTCAGCAGAGACTGGGCAGTTGTGAGGACTCCAGCTGCAGCTCTGGGACAACGACCACCTGAGCTCTGGTGAGTTAACTTCCTAACTACATTAATTACAAGTCTTTACAGGGCAGAAAACTGAACCAAATTCTCATGATCTTTGGGTGTTAACTGAGCTAACTGCTGCTGCAGGCTCGGGTGTCACTGCTTTTTGTTTGCTGAAGTCACAGTACAGAATTACCCACTCTTGATGTTTCTGCAAATGTTTCCCACTAACTTCTGGTTACAACAGAAACCTGTCATGCTTATGGGCTTGTTTCCCAGTCACTGAGGAACCCAGGTCCAGCAGTAGCCCAGAAGCTGACCAACTGGCTAACCCTCCATTAGCACAAGGAACAACATGTGGGGGGGGTTCTGTTTTTTTAAAATCCCAGAAAAACCTGTTAAAAATAACCTAAAGACATTTAATTATCCCTCTCTTAGCACCATACAACGTACTATCAATCAGTGGAGAACTTCTGTACAAACTCCCAGCTTGAACCATTTTTTTGGATGTCCACCATCAATACCTCTTCATTGTCATTATTCTTTTCCTTTCCATCTTGTTGCATGACTAATTGTTTTCAGTTGATTCAATTTGGATTTCCAATACATGGGCAGATCTGTCTTTCTGGTTGCTTGGCAGGGAAGCTTTAAAACTACAGCCAGAAAACCAACTCTAATCAAGAGTGAGAAAGATTCAAGCTTGGGGTTATAGGAAAACATTTCTAATAATTTAATGAACTCAAAACCAGTGGAAACTTTGATCTATGCTAATCAACAACCTTTGTTCAGAAACAAGTTCACTGGTGCTTTTTGGTTATTTAGAAGAAATAATAGTCCTCCCTTCCCTAAAAAAAAGAAACAGCAAACCCCAACAAACAACAAAGTAGCTCTAGGGAAGCTGAATTTGGAATTTATCAGACTCCACACTTTGAAAGTGGCTGTATACTTGGGGAATATGTTTAGTCATAGACTCTGTCACTTCTGTTGGCTCTCACAGGGAATGAAAACGTTTTCTAACAGACTGATGTAGCTGGTGGGGTCCTGCAGTGCCCATGTAACTGGAATTGGGCAGAAGAACAACTTGTAAAATACTTCCCATCAGTGCTTTAAGATTCCCACCCCTCTCCCACTGTCCTGAATTCTGCTGTAGTGAAGCTTAGGTGGGTTCATGTCCTGTGAGGGGCTCTCTGGGATGGTGAGCACCACTGGGGACAAGCACCTCTGAGAAGCTTCACGTGCTGCTTCCCAGGAGTTGAGGTGTCACATCTCCCACTGCATCCCCCACGAGGTGGGGTCCCGTTTCAGAGGGGGATTTGGGGGATTATGGGGCCTACAGGTGCCCAGAGGAAATGGTGTCAGGGTAGTGATGGTGGGAGCAGCTCCTGTGCAAGGCCTCGTAGCCACGCTGCCAGGGATCCCAGTGGAATCAGGTCTGGGCAGCCCTGCAGGACCTGTTTTGCCATCTCACAGGCACCAGGCAGCACTAAGCACATGGGGACCCTCATGTCCAGCTCCTACAGAACCTTGGGACAACGTGTCTGCACTCTGCAAAAACTCCTTGTGTCTGTTTTGGAGCCAGGACCTGATGGTGTCTGTGGCTGCCCTGACTCTGCTTGTCCTGTGAGAAGCAGCAGCTCTCCAGTCTCCTCTGCCCACCCTGCCCCTTTCAGGACTTTAAAGGCCTCTGCTTTATCTTTCCCCACTTTCAACACTACACTTTGAACCTAAACAGGCTAGATGTCGAGTAGCTCTTGCTCCAGCAGATAGATAAAGGTTGTCTCAAGTCCTGGGCTGGTTAAAGTCACGTCTCAGCTGTGCCTGGTTTTGGATCAATGTCCCTGTGTACAAACCCCCTGCAGCTAGCTGAAAGACCTGAGTAAGCAGGTATGTGTGCCTGCCTACTTCAAGTGAAACCTTTTGAAATATTTTGTCCTTTCTAATCTTCCAGTTATCATCTTGGGTGCTTTCAGCTTCATTCGACACACAGCTATGGGAGGAAGTGTGATTTCAGAGCTTCCTTTGGAAAGTACCCAGTGACCTTTGTGCTTCTGTGCCTTGAGTGGCTCCACTTAGAAGAGCTGTGTGTGCTGTAGGTGGGTTTAATTTCCCCAGGTTCTGTTTAGAGAAGGTTCAGGGTGCTGTAAATTCACCCAGCAGCTTACACAGAGCCCTCCTGTTTGTGCATGAATGCCAGCTAAGGTGCACGAATGGATTTTGGGGGCTGCTGGGGGAACTGCTACTTCTTTCAGTATTGTCTCCCTGTGATGATTTTAATGCCAGTTAATTACTTATTCTCCCTTACAGCATTTTCCATCTAAACCAGACCAAGCACAAACCTCTGAACAGACCTCACCAGACTTAACATGGCTCAGTTTATAGCTTTAACCCACTTGAGATGAAATAAAACTCAAGAACCACCCGAGGTAGGGGACTTTAAGCCCTTTCTCCCATGTTGGACATCCCTACACTCCAGCAGAAGTCATGGCAGATATTTCCTGGACTGAAGGAGCCTCCAATGAGACAGTTGGGGATGCCAGGTCAGAATTGGAAGCAGGCTTCCAGTACTGCTTGTTTACTGTCATCTACAGCATTGTCTTTGTGCTGGGGCTGACAGAAAACGTCCTGGCTCTGTACCTGCTGTCCTGCAGAGCGAAGGACGCCTCCCCTTCCTCCGTGTACCTGATTAACCTAGCTCTGGTAGACACCCTGTTCGTGTGCATGCTGCCTTTTAAAATCCATTACCACCTGAACTGGAACGACTGGATCTTCGGGGACGTGGCGTGCAGGGTGACAGGGACACTGTACTACATCAACATCTACCTCAGCATTGCCTTCTTCACCTGCATCTGCCTGGATCGCTACGTGGCGGCGCTGCACCCCTTCGCCTACCTCCGCCTCAGAGCCACACACCACCTGCTGGTGGCCACGGCCCTCTGGGTGCTGGCCCTGGGGGTCACCCTGCCCCTCATCCTCGGGGGTCCCCTCCACAACGGCGGCGTGAGGAACACGACTGCCTGCTTTGAGAACTTCCCCCTCAGCAGCTGGACGCGCCGCATGGCGCCGTACAACGTCCTGGCCTTGGTGTTTGGGTTCGTCATCCCCTTCTCCATCATCCTGGTCAGCTACCCCCTCGTGGCCAAGAGGATCTCCCAGACCAAACACAGCGTTCGCAGGAGGAAGGCCCTGAGGACCATCTGCATCATCTTGGTCATCTGCACTTTGTGCTTCCTCCCCTATCACCTCACTCACTTGCTCCACTTCCTGATGAGGGTCCAGCTCATCCAGAACAAGTCCTTCACCGACCTCATCTACAAAATGCGGAGGGTCACCCTGGCCCTCGTGAGCTTCAACTGCTGCCTTAACCCCCTCTTGTACTACCTCACCTCTTCCAGCAAGCAATGGCTCCTCAAATTCAGGCTCAGGTTCAGGTCTAAAACGGTGTACACCATCTGCGACCAGAAACTCGGGGAGTCCTTCGGTGTTTATCAGCTGCAACAGAGACAGGGAAATAAACACAGGGGTGGAACCAACTGATCTACTTCAAGGGAGCACAGTATTCATCTCTCCAACTGCTTCTATGAAAGCAAACCTGTGAGACCTGCCATTTTTTTAATACAGTGGTTGTTCTACATCAAGGCAACGCAGGAGGGAAGTGCCCAACAGTTACTTATCTTTATATGGGGGCTGTATTACTTGGGGGCTGTATTCTCTGACAGGCCCAGAGAGCACTGGGTGAAACATGCTGTGCTCACATCCATTGATGTGTTGCTCTCCCCTCTGTTTAATTTTGGGGTTGGTAGGAGAACACAGGGCTTTTCTCTGGAAAGCAGTGCAGCCCAGGAAAGGGTTACTTGAAGGAAACCAGCCTCCTCATTGACACTAAGTGAAAGGCAGTGGATCAGGGCAGCCCTCCTGGCTTTGCCCTATTTTGGAGGGATCCTGTGTTTTCTCCCTGGGGTACACTGTAGCCAGCTGGGTTCACAAACTGCTTTCTGCCCACATTCCACAGCCAAATAAGGGCTCCTCATCCCTTCTGAATCAATGGATGGGCTTCCTTGAGAAGTATTTCAGCACGGGGTTTCTAGCATTGTGTGCCTGTGGATTCAAACTGGACATCTACTACTGCAAGTCTGGAAGAGAACAGATCCAGGTGTTTATCAGTCAGCCCTGTGCAGGATCAGGGGTGAACAAGCCCCTCTGGCCACACAGCCCCTGGGGGAAGTTGGTGTAGGAGCTGGCACAGCTCCTTGTGCCATGCAGTCCTGTTCAAATGTCAAAGCTCTCTCTCAAGTCACATTCTGTGATCAAAACACAGTATCTGACCTAGTTCATCTCTTCTCTGAACAGAACCACACAGCTTCTGAGAACTGCTGAGCTTTCCACCACATGAAACACGAGTTTTGGAGAGAATTTATCATCTGTGGGTTATCAGTCACAGAAACCCCCTGGCCTGGCTGACAAACCTGCTCCAAAGCCAATGGTTTACCTGAGAGGATGTGACTTTTGTTAACAGATCCACACACAGTCTGGTCTGTTTCTTCCCACGCCACCCAGACTTCTTAAAGCCTGGAGGAATTTTTAAATAGACGTGAGAAAACCTACAGAAACTTTTCTAAAATATTAAAAATCATGATTCCTGTGTTCCTCTGCCTGACTGGGCTTGGTGAGACAAAGTGCAAACCCTTGCACCTGTACCATGGAGACAAGGAGACCCTCAAGGGGCTTTCAGAACAAATTAATCTTTTACCTTTCACAAGCAACTGCTATTTTTGCCCCATTTACAGGCAGTGCAAAAAATCCCAACACTGGAGGGCTCTTTCTAACTAAGCACAACTTTTATGTTGTACACAAAGGAAGAAAAATGTTGAACAGACTCTGTCCAGGGGCACAGCTTTTTAGCAGCCTTGTCAGAAAAGGAAGTGTAGGTAATTTCCAAAGTTACTGCTGGGTAAATAGCACGTTTTGGGCTTTCTTGCCTCCATTATACTTTGTATTTTAATTGTGAAGCTTTGAAAGCTCCTTGTTTCACTCAGGGGTTTGAGCTGTGGGAGGGGAAATACTGAATCTCTCTTACCTCACTGTGTGAGCCACTCAGAACTTGCTCCTCAGGACTCCTGAAGGGCTGTGCCAGCTTGCTGCAGAGGTTTCCCGTGGGGCAGATCAGCACACACTGTCATGGCAGTAACTGCACAAACACTGTCATTCCTTTATTAAAACAAAACTTTGACAATATAAACAAAATAAAATGGAAATCTCTCTGAGCTGCTGCCACGCCTGCTGCTGTGCTGCTCACGAGGTACTGGGGGGCAGTCCTTTCTTCAGAAGGGAGGTGAGATAGCTGCCCAGCTCCTCATCCTAGAGAGAGGAAAGAGGAACAGGATGAAAGCAATCTTCTACCTGACTCTCCCAATTGGGGCAGGAAATTTGGCTCTGCTACCTAGAAATAGACTGAAATAATTCCTTGACCCAGCAAAATGTAATGCTAGGAGGATTCACAAATGGAAACCAATGCACTTCTGGGTGTTCCTTCAAAACACCAGGGTACAACTACCACTTGTCAAAGTAGGTGTCTGGTCCTGAGGTGTCTCTTGAGGAAAATAACCATATTTTTTTCTTGAAATCAAAGAATACAGAACCTTTTTTTTTCCCTTTGCCCTCAAAAAGGCATTTTCTTGCTGTAAAGAAAGCTTTGAAAACTACTGGCATAGGAAGTAAACTTTTGAAAGGAAGAAAACACAACCACCATGTCTAATCTTACTACAGTTTGTTGTTCACCAGCTTTCTGCTTGTTGTTTAAAGTTAAAATTACAATATAAAATGCCTCCATGCTCTGTATGGCAGTAGCAATGCAGCTCATTAGAAGCTGGATACTATCATGTCCTCAGAACACAGATATAATTGTAACTAACTGTATTACACAAGTGTAATTATGCCACATCAGTTCCCTGGACTTCAGTGGTCTCAGAGACAACTGTCTCAGTTTTGCTACTACACCTAAAACAGCAAAGAAAACAGCAGTGACTTGTCTCATCCTGTCCAACAGCTTCAAAAGCAGAGTGATGAAGACACCCTGAGAGTAGCAACCCACCTTGTGGGACAGTTTTGGACTGTAAGGAGTTAAGATCAGAGCTGCTTGAAAAGGGTGTCTGAGTATTCCTACCTGGTAAGTCCAGGATACGAGCAGAACTTTGGTTCCCTGATCCTCTGAGTGAGCTGTGGCCTGGATAAGAATGGACTCCACTGTTATGGAGCCATCAGGGAGATGCTGCACTGAATAATCTTTCAGGACCCTGGTAAGAGAGAAGACAGATGGTTTATTTTGCATACAAGCTGAAGGGTGGGTCACCTGCTGTAGCTCTGAATCCCAAACACCAGCACGTTGTTGCTGCTTTTAGCTGTGTCTGAGCCAGTACCCACTGCCCAAGGAAGGGAGAATGGGGCTGATTATATTAACCCCATAGGATTTCCTACAGAGGTATTTCTGGGTTTCATGACAGCTGTAGCTGCATGCTGAACCCTGTTCAGCTAAGCAAAGGGCTACTCACAGAACTATTGAGCTGCCCCTAGGAAGAAAAGTGTCTACAGTTTGTCTGCTGCTGGCTTTTGAATAGCTTTAGGAGGTGTCCTGGCTCTATGCTTGAAGGCCTCCAAACACTGCACTAACTTCAGCTAGAAGCAACAGCAGCAAACCAACGGGAAGAATGATTTCAGGTGGGCTGCTGTAGCTGGGCAGAGCCAGGGGCCTGCAGGCTGCACAGCAGCCTCTGCCCTTGCAGCACAGCCACTGCCCCGGGCACCTCGGCCACGCAGGCTCCATCCAGAGCAGCTCTGCCTCCTGGGCTGAGAGAATCTCCTCGAGCCGCTCTCCAGGACGGGCCTGGGGGGGCAGAGAGGACCTCTATGGAGCAGGCCAAGCTCCAGCCCTCCCCAGGGGGCCCAGGCCGGGCAGGGGGCTCACGCTCGGAGGTGGTTGTAGACCCGCAGCGCCGTCTCGTGCTCCTTGCGCGGGTCCTGCAGGTGCACGCGGCAGGTGAAGCGCAGCTGGTGCTCGGCCAGGCCCAGCTCCTTCAGAGCCTGCTCGGGGGACACCAGCCTGAAGCTCTGCAGGG